TTAATTGAAGCAACAACAAACTTAGACGAAATCCTTGAAACACTTTGTCAAAAATTTTCGCTCCCTGTTCCTTCCCCCTCCCTTTTCCAAAGTTGTTTTAGCCAGTAAACACTGAAGCTGAAGTTTTTGCGGGTGTTCTGAAAAAGAGACGTATTGGAAAGCTTTATTCTACTTTTTTCACCAAAAAGTTAGTACTTTTATTCATACTGAAGGAAGTTAAGCCCTCTCCCGATAGCAAAATGATAAAACTTGTTTCATTTGATAACTTGTTCCCACCACTACGACGACATTCCCGCTAAAACCCGTTGTGTCATTAAATGGTGGCAGAAACTCTTATGAGTTTCTGATGGTGGTTTAATGTTGTTTAGGTTTGCTCGACCCAGGATTTTGAAGAATATTTGGGGTACACCTTCCAAACAGGAGCCCATGATCCTGCTTCAGTGATATTTTAATTTTTTATCCTGCAGAACAAAGGTTATAGTTTGCGTAGCCTTGGGCTTAGCTTTCTCGCAGGCTATTTTAGGACTAAGGCTGTGGTGTAGAGGAAACAGAATCCAGATAAAACGTAGATATCAACCGCTACTCTATTTACACACCTTCCACTTTCTCTTTGCGGACCGTCCTGCGCTAGTCTGAAATGTCGTACGTGTGTTAAAGACGTATTTTTCTAATCAAAACTAAGTGTTTTTTTTTAACGAAAGGAATTGTAAATAGTGCTTTGACGAAATAGTTTTTTTCTGAAGTGAATTAATTGTAAATAGGATTTTAATAGTTAGTATGTTATCAATAAAATACGTGATGTTTTTTTTTTTGATACTGACAGCTACATCAGGAAAATTCTCGCCCGCAGCTTACAAAATTCGTCAGAAAAAAGAAAAGAAAAACACGTCTGTGCAAGGTACAATTCTTTTTCGGTGGGATTGTATTGTCTCTGGAGACAATCCTTTTCAGAATGCCATTAATTCGTGATGACCAATCATTGGTTTTCTTTGATGAGAACAATGAAAGACCATTTTTTGGCGATCCAATCACATTTTAAAAAGGTTATGTAAGTCGTTCAGTCAATATTTTCCCGCGATAATATCAACATGTCGGTTGGGTGGAAGGTCCTTTCTTTCTTCCTTGTACCCATAACTATTGCTTCAGTTGTTGTTAGCAAAGATGTAGATGATGAATGTATAGCATTTGATACTTCTAGCCAACATGGTCTAAATGAAACGAAATTGGACAAAAGGTACCTCATCCACGATGTTGATCCAGCAGAGGGTTTTAATCTACGGCGGGACGTCTACGTGAGAGTGGCAAATATGATGAAACTTCTTCGAGAAAAACAAAACTGGGTGCTTGTAGTTCCACCTTGGAGAAAATTAGATCACTGGCGATCACCGATCGAGCAGAATGCTCTTCCATGGCGAACATTCTTCGATCTCGAGAGCTTAAACAGATATGTTCCTGTCATTGAATTCGAAGACTTTGTGAAAGAAACTGGCGAATCAGGTATAGATGAAATTCTCTATTTACAGGAATACGCAGAAGGCTGGGAGGATGGGCATTGGGAAGAAAAAGTCGATGATCGTGATTGTTTAGACACTCCTGTTTACTACAAAGACCAAGACGGTTTTTATCGAGGATATTTTTGGGGAATGGACAATGTATTCGCGCGTAAATTTAAATGTGTATCTGTGCAAGGCACTTCAGCTATTTTAGTGTCTTTACTGGAGAAAACCAAATCCAGGTAAGCTCTGTTTTATTTTATTTTATAATACCATCTATTAAAACTCATCGCTTGTTTTAGGTAACCTTGAATTGAATTAGTTTGTAATGTTAATTATGAGCATCAATAGCACTTGAAATTGATTCATCTTCCACGTGCGATCCATAGTGCCATTGCTGGTGTTTTTTCATAGCTGCTATAAAGCACCACCAACTTTCATGGACTATTGTCTCTAAATGGAATAAAAAGCCCATGTAGCTAAGGCCGAAATCCAGGATAATACCATTCATGTATGGCTAGAAGGCAGACTGGTCTCAGGATGAAAAAGACAAGATCTAAAATTATTGTGGTAGAAATAAATCTAGAAATAAGATTGTTGAATCACGCCTCTCAATAACCATACGACAAGAGGTTTGGCCCAACAATTTATTGAGTCAGAATCGACCGCTATGCACTGACTAACGCGAAAGGTCGTGAATGAATCAATACACTCGCCAAACAAAAAAAGGCGCAAACCGAAGTCGGGGTTGTATAAGAAAAGAGACGTGAATGTGAGAAAAAAGAGATATTAATTATAGAGCTACAAAGATAGTATATGTAGGAATATAGATATAGCAATAAAAAAAAGGACATGCTAGTGAGAACTACGAGATAAAGGAAGAACCTGGGCGGCCATGGAATTTACTGCTTGTCTCTTTTGAGTGGAGGACATTTCGAGATAAACTAGATAGGCGTCACTTTGCCAATCACCTTGCCGCTGAATAAGTTCCGCCGGAACATTACACCGAAAGGCGAAACTCGCGCCGCCGCGACGAAAACTATGGGAAGAGTAATGGGCCGGAACTAAGCCGATCGCTTGAATGACCCGCGAAAGAAATTGGGAAAAATGGCGATACGTGATTGGCAATAAACTGTGAGACGTGGGAGAAAAAACCCAGAAAATCGGCGCATGCTACGGCCCTGGATTAAGGTGTAAATGACGGCTTAAAGCCCTGACTGGACAAGGCGGGGAACCTTGGATGCACGGCAAGGGAATTGACAAAGAACGCTGTTGATACTGAATAGTCTTAGACGCTTTAATATGTAGCGATGCCCCCTGAGAGGAAAATTCTAAATCAGCCCGCAAAGGAACTTTAGTTGAGATGCGATCTGCTACGTCGGGGACTAAATTGGATTTCCGTAAAAAGGTAAAGAAGGCGACGAGAAACCAAGCCCACATGGCTGCATGTAAAGGTATAGCTAAAGTGAAATGCGAAATGAAATGTGGAATGAAATGCGAAATGTGAAATGCGAGTACACCTGCAGCAAAATTTCTGGAGTAATAGGATGTTTGCGGTTCGGGGATACTCCGAGATAGCGCTTAACACCTCTTAAAACTAACTGACGACGATAATGTGTGTCCCAGACCTTTCCGAAAACTAACAGCTGATTTACATGTTTAAGACTGCCGATATAATTGATGATAGTCGCGTACGTTCGACCCGAAAGGGTGAGATAAGCAACGTAACGAATAAGCAAATCGATCTGAACAGGGAACGGAGAGGCACGGACGGAATGACAAAACCTAGTGTAAACGTTAACGTGAGACTTAATATTCTTGTGAGTCGATGGGGCGAAAGCCAAATGAACGAAACGCTGAGCAAAGGCATCTAATGAAGATACAGTGGTAAAGATCCCTGAAAAATAAACCATAAATGTCTGAATAATTGAATTGAGGAAACAAACCCCCCAAAAAACTATAACAAAAGCGAAAAAAAATCAATCAACGTCAAAATAACAGAAGTCTCCGGGTATCTCTTCGAAAACGTAACTGATCCCGAGAGCTGTGGTCGCTTGGGCAAACTGAGTTTGAGAGGAGGTGTTATCCCAACGACTCAAGGCATCGGCTAATGTGTTATGCTCACCGGGAATATGCCGGACGCGGAGGTCAACATCATGAAGCGCTGAAGTGAACCACAACTGGCGCAAACAGCGCTACATGAAAGGATCCTTGGTGGAGCCCGAATTGATCACGGTAACCGCCGCCTCATTGTCGCAGGAGACGAGAAATCGCTGATGTTGCAATGCTGTGGGCCAGAACTTTACCGCGACAATAACAGTGAAGAGTTCCAGAGCAGAGATGTGAGACAAGGCGTGGAGGAAAAAATCCGGGAAAGGGAATATAAAGTATTTTCGAGGCACGTGGCTCCGCCGCGAGTCAGACAAGCGTCCGTGATATGAAACGAAAATCAGCGAAGGACCAGTCGGCAGGCTTGATAACCGAAACACCATTGTAAAGGGGAAGAAAAGTTTGCCACCAAGCCAAATCGTGACGCATTTCCAACGTGACTAGTTGAGATTTAGCGTTGGAAGGGAAACTACGCAAAGCGTTCAAAAGGCGAGAAAGAAAAATCCGACTAGCGTGGACGCAAGCAGTCACGAAAGAAAGTTCACCGAGTAAAGACTGCAGTTCTTTGACGGTAAAGCGCACGCGTGACAACCACAAATGTAACTCATCGGATAATTCACGAAGCCGCGACTCTGGAACACGTAATGTAAAATCCTTGGTATTGACGAGGATACCCAAGCAAACCATCTCAAAGGCCGGCGGTGAATCTTTTTCAGGCGAAGAGGCAAAGCCTCGGGTATCGATTGCAGAGTAGCAAAGGTATTGTCAGCCAGCGACGGACATTCAGCGCCGTAGAAATCATCTACGTAAACATCAGCGGGAAATCCGGCTTTCGTGAAAATATATATGACGGTATTGGTAATTACCAAGAATCACTCAACGTAATTATTGCACAAATATGGAAATTTTATATTGCTCACTCAGTATGAGATCATTCTTAGGTCAATCCTGTATTTCAACCTATTTCCTGATCCTGGACTGCCTTCCCGCATTCCACAAAAATTCTGAAATGGTATGGTAATGAAAAAATAACAACTCTGAAATAACCGATTTAAGGAAAAAAATAACAAAATGCTCTACCATTCCTTCTTGTAAAATATATTATTATGGTCTCTTACTTCTCAATTGCTAGTTTTGATTTGTGTTACTTTTCACTGACAAGTTGACTTGAATTTCTTGGAAGGCTTTGAGATAAAAGAATTCTCTTCTCTCTCTCAAAGCACAAAAAAGCAATTTTTTGGCCTCACAGGCAGGCATCACCTCACTCCTTGTGAATGTCCAGCCCTCATACTCACGTTGTTTGTCTCAGACCCTATATTTTTTTTATGCACATGCCATGTCCCTGGCCTTGAGTGGAATAAGGTTACGTCTATCTAAAAATACCCAACACCAGCGTCGTGCAGAATTATTACTTTACTGTGAAAAAAGAAATGACCTTTGGTAACTCCAAGTACAGATTGAGCTTCTAGTCCTCTGCCTAAATGAGTACAGATATCTTCTGGACAGTGACCGTCAGTTTATTGTCAAAGCTAGGCAGATCACAGGCATTCCCAATTTGAAAAGATCCATAGGGATACCAGCCTCGGTTTAGTGGAAATCAACCAAGCCCTAGCGCTTTGAGAATCCAGGTACACCAGTCCCCTAGACACATTTTATTGTCACCACCCTGTCCATATTACCGTTGACAGTGGGGTCACTTTTAACATGATTTGGTTGTCCACTGTTCACAAGTTGAAAGAAGAGATTTGTAATAGTGCCCAGTGTACCCATCAGGCTGACAGTTCCAGTTTGAAGTTTGGTAGTCGAAAACCTGGATAAAGAGCTCCGAGCCAGTAGCCCTTTATTGAAGTCAAAGATATCATTGTTTGTCCTGCTAATCGCTGATTACCCTTAGTGATGGTTCCTTCATTACATATGGCTCTTCTGGCACTTGTTGTACACATAAATTTTCCTGTCATGCTTTGGTTGTCCACGCTCCTACAAATTCAACCACATTACGGCCTAGGGCTAGAACTATGTCATGACTATGTGGACACCGCCTCTGGTGATGTAGGAACGTGCAGTGAAACCTGTATTAAGCGGACACCATATTAAGCAGACACCTTCTATTAAGCGGCCAGTAGCCGAAGTCCCCAAATTTATTTCCCTTATTTTCTTCAAATGAAACCTTTATTAAGCGGACACCTCTATTAAGCAGACGTGGACACCTAAAAAGTACCTGAAATGGTCATTTCTATTGTTGCCAACCTCTGTTAAACGGACACTTGTAATTAAATATTTCCTTCACCCTACATGCTAGACACCAGAAATGCGAAAGATTGCCACCCACAAATGTTTTGATTTTTACATTAAAAAACGTGACTTGACGAACTTATTTGATTAGTTTCTCAGTACAGTATTGTTTTCTATTTCTTTTTGTTTGTATAGAACTTGTTTCACTCATCTAATTTCTTCAAATTTGAGTTGCAATCTATGTTTATGGTACTATGATCAATTGGTCCACTTTAATAAAGAATATGCAAACATATATCGTCATAGTCTCTGGGAGTATTCTAAATGTTTCCAGTGTTCATTTGAATGGCATTTGACACCTCATATGACGTTATCTATCGAAACCAGTATTAGGCAGATACCCTGTATTAAGTGGACACTACAGCATTCCCAAAGGGTGTCCGCTTAATACAGGTTTTACTGTACGGCAAGACTCAGCAGTCACTTATGTACAATATTGATACCACTGTGAAAGGTTTGAACTCAGGAGTCATTTCAAAAGTAGGTTTAGTTTGATCGTCCAGGTTGTTGACAGTGACTGACGTTTTGACAACCTGTGCGGTAGTCATCTTCAGAGTCAAAGTGAGTTTTACACGTCAGTTGATGGTATTATACTCTGGTTATTGCTCTGATTGGTCAATTACGTCGTGATGTTATTGGTGGTCTGTCAGTTAAGCCGTGATGTTATTGGCTATGAAGACTAGCCAATAACATCACGGCTTAACTGACAGACGACCAATAACATCGCGATGTAATTAACCAATCAGATCAATAACCAGAGTATAATACCATCAACTGACGTGATACAACTCACTTTGACTCTGAAGATGACTACTGCACAGGTTGTCGAAACGTCAGTCACTGTCAACAACAACAGTCCTATTCAGGACTACTTTCACCNATCAGATCAATAACCAGAGTATAATACCATCAACTGACGTGATACAACTCACTTTGACTCTGAAGATGACTACTGCACAGGTTGTCGAAACGTCAGTCACTGTCAACAACAACAGTCCTATTCAGGACTACTTTCACCCGGACGATCAAACTCAACCTACTATTGATACCACTCTTTGCCAAATTGCTACTGACCTTACAACTACCTTTTATCAAATCCCTCTTGCACCCAAGTTGGTGAAATACTGTTCTGTGGGGTCCAGTTGAATACCCATTCAGTGATGGGTATGCCAGGCTCAGAAACTGCATTGGAAGAGCTCATGTGTCATGTACTTGAAGATCTTATTCCATGAAAGAGTTGTTGCCAAGATTAGCAACATATCAATACTGCGGTGCCTACTCACCAGAGGAGCTACTGCACAACTTGAAATGAGTGTTTCAGGCCCTCTCCGAGTGCAACCTCAAACTCTCTGCAGTCCAAGACTTTTATCAACCCCAAATCTACTATGATGTTTGGCTGGAACCCTCCAAGCCTTCCTCCATCAAATTACAGCTCTAGCTTTGTGCAGCAAGCCTGAAACTGTAGGCCAACTTAAAGTCCTTCATTGGTGCATACAAAATGCTAGCTGGCATTAAACCCCATTGCTCAGCCTTGCAAGCACCACTTGACACTGTCATCACAGGTCATCAGTCTCATGAGAGGATCAACTTGTCTGATGATCTACTCTTTCACAATGCCCAGTCAGCCCATCTGCTCCATCACTCTACCCTACCTTGATAGTCAATTGTGGATCATCACAAATGGAGCTGTCAAAACTCCAGGTATCACCACCACAATGTATATAATACGTGACAATAAGCTACAGCTAACCAGCCTTTCCAGCACCAAACTTTGGAGTTGTCAAGTTACCTGGCTCCCTTGTGAGATAGAGGCCTTATCCATCCTAGCTGCAATGAAACACTACAGCTCTTACAGTTGAAAACACCAGCCTGCATTCTCACTAACAATAAAGCACGTGTGTGGACATTTGAAAAGCTCTGTCGTGGTGAGTTTCCCTCAGACCCTCGTGTTGCCACCTTCCTTTCCACCATCACTAGGCGCCAAGCCTCTGTTCATCATGTTGCTGGAGCCACTATCCTACCATCTGACTTTGCCAGTGGCAATGCCCGTATGTGCGACAACTCAACTTGTCAAGTTTGCAGCTTCATCCAACACACCAAGGATTTTGTGGTTCTCTCTGCATCTGTCCAAAGCATACTGTTAGGAAAGGCTAAACTTCATTTCACTAGAAAAAGCTGCTTGGCTTGCCCTCCCAGCCGAGTGTCCAGACCTAGAGCACACTTATGCCCATTACTCAAGGCACATGCTCTTCCTAGATGTTGACTAACATTCTAACATTAAAGGTGTTTAAGTTTCCTTCATTTCACCACAATTGCTTCCGACACCTTACTCATTGTTAAATGTAACGAACCCCTAGTACCTGCCCATCAGGAGTGCAAGTCCTTGATAGTCTTTTGCATGTCTACCTTAGCCACATAAATATAACTAGATATAAATAATAAATAATGATTTGGAGGTAGCACATCCACAAAGTGGTTCTTCGAGAACTGATGGTGGTAACCCAACAAAACTTTTTCATCCTTGACATGGACAAAGCCGTTGATTGCATCACTTCTAGCTGCCATCATTCTGCTTCACCCTGCGTGGTCCCACCTCAGTGGTGCAGCAGTCCCCCAAGCCCCAACCTGAAACTATGGGTAATCTCTTTTACTGCCAAAGTCATTAAATGACTTACCTTGTTGAAAGCCCAACGCGCTCTATGACACTCTCCGCAACACACTGATGAGCGTGTGCATTGGCATCCAACCACTGGATGGCCCTCTTACTGTAATATGAACTGACATTGATCCTTGTTTCATGACCCCTGACAGTAGCTCAGTTCTTCACAAGCTAAGAATTGTTCTCGTAATCAGCAAAGTCAAGAATCAAAACAAGAACCCAGTTGCAGAACTTGAACGTGAGCTCTTTCAACAGGATCCCTAGGGTGGGCCTGTCTCCCCCGTTGTACTTTCCGTTGGAGCCACAACCCTGAATTCACACTTATGGATTGTAAGCTTGTGGGATGTGGATACAGCGTGATCAGTTCTCAGTTGCAAGATTCCACTAACTGACTATCATCTCATCTCTTAGATCAGTGTCAAGGATCTTTTGATGGCCCAAAATCGCTGATCTCCACAATACCTTGGGGAATTTGTAGTATTAGTATGCCCCCTCAAGACTCAGTCGACCACCCAAGAGATGGATAAAAGGGACAGAAATAGAGACAGTTGTGTCATTAGTCATTATTTGCTGTGTTTTTCATGCACCTTGGCAAACAGACTCTGTCCTTACTCTTCTCTGGGGCTGTTGTTCATGTTGTCACTTATCCGCCATTTTGTTTGAATTGTGTTCCGTTGCTTCTACTCACTTTGTTGACTGGCGTAGATGCAACTGATATCGCTCTTTATGAATGGCAAATTTCACTTAATACTCTATTTATTTCTTGTCCTTCATAATGTAACAACTAGGGTAGACACAGTACAATCTCATCCTTTGGCTCAGGCTTTGGTCTTGGAAAAAATACCTTGCAAAGCATGTCCGTCATGTTTTACTCGACTTTGAAAAAGAGACCACCATGTGAAGTAATTCTCTTGGAGCTCTTCTTTCCAGAGTAACTTCATTTTTTTCACCTTTCCAGATCAGTGTTTGTAGACAGATTTGATGAAGTGACGCACATTGTGTATGGACAGAAGGATTTCTGGGAGGTACTGTGGCTCATTTTTTTTCATTATTTCAGATCAGTAATGATTGACAGATTTGAAAAGGTTTTACACATCCATTATGGTAAGGTGGAATATTGGAAGGTAATATGTCTTCAAACAATCATCAAGCTAAGATCAAATGATTTGGGCAGTTTGACACATTATAGCCAGGCAGTGAACAGATTACAGCTTGACTATGAGCTTCAAGGGGCAATTTGGACAAAATTTCCAGGAGTGAATGGGTTTAGAACACCAAAATGCTGTAGATTTCAAGAGCAAAAACTGAGCAACCGATAGACTTACAGAGGGACTACAGTGCTGTAACACGGGCTACCTAGGAAAAGTTAACCAATAATTGGTTATTGTATTACACATGAGTAACAATACATTCCAAGAAAGTTGGTTGTGGGCCAATCACAAGCTCATAAGAGAAACAAGTTACTAGAAGCTCAAAATTTAAATATTGATAATAAATTGTTCCAAAATAGCATTAAAATATTTTTATCTGAAACTTTATATACCACGCCCAGGAAATATATTTTTGACAGAAAATGTTATTTTGTCGTCTGCTAGCAATTTCGTGGCAAACATTGCCACACATTGAAGTAACATATTACCTAAAGTCAAAAATATAAGTGATGTTTACAATTTTCACCTCTGTCAATCATTCTAACAGACCTCTTAGGAAACGAAGGCTTTCTTCAGTGGGTTCAAAAGGTCATGTTTGCAGGTTGTAATAATTTGGTTGATTTCGATCCATATTGTCTTAAGCTCTGATAATAGGCAGCCTTAGCAATGATGACAGCGATTGCAGGAAAAACATCACTTTTAAAATCAGTTTTCACTTTTTCAAAAATGTGATTTAGATAACATTCTAACTTGCTTAAAATTTCATATGTAGGTGAAATCTCCTGGACTTAGACCCTTGGGGACAACACCCACGTTTAATAACAGAGAATTACTTGGCATTTGGTTATGTCGTCCATAAAATTAATTTATATCAAATATGGAAATTTCATGTTGTTTTGCAGTATCAAAACGTGTAGTCAAAAAATAGTGTTCAACTAATCGCTTTTTTGTTTGTTTTTGTTGCTGTTGCCATGGTTGTTGTTTAAGCTTTCTAATGTCTAATGTTGAAAGGGAGCTGAGTTGACAATGACTCTTATCAGTACTTGTCTTAAACGTAGGCAAGAAGAAGCCAAGTATTTGCCAAGCACCTGACAGCAGAAGGAGACACATTCCGTAAAGAGATACTGAAATCAGAGGACAACAAAGATGGCACTGTCATGTATGAAGACTGGACAAAAAACCACAAAAAGGAGGGTAGTGCTACGGGTGGCCCATACCTGGCTGTTCACCTGAGAAGAACTGATTTTCTTTATGCACATCCTGATGGTGTACCATCATTAGATAACGCTATCAAACAGATCAAGGAGATTCTAGATAAACAAAAGCTTGACAAGGTGTTTCTTGCTACTGATGCTGATAAAGAAGGTGAGATGCAAAATATTGTTTAAAAATAATAATACTTGTTGCTTGGTACATAGCCTGAGAAAACCGCCGACATGTAATTTCGCAACGCCACCACTGGTTTTTGCGGCAAATTGACGTCTGCAAAATGAGTGCTGAATTACCATAGTGATACTACCTAAATCAGGGTAGTGCTTCTGATTGGCTGATGCAAATTTCCCATGCAGCATGACCAATCAGAAGCACTGCCCAGATCTTCATCAGTATGGAATTTTTGTGGTCTTTCTGTAGACGTCATTTTCCAGGGAAACCGGTGGTGGTGTCGCAAAATGTCGGCTGTTTTCTCAGGTTACTGGGTATATGAATTTAGTGGGCTAGGCAGAAAATTGAACAGAAGTGGAATTTCTTTTGGTTATATTTTTCTTTTATTTCCAGTGAAAATCCCTTTGGGTTATGCTCACAGAAGCTGGGGAAATCCTGACCCCCAGCCGTCAGTGACAGCTTTGTTTGAATAGATATGGAACTGTTCCTAGAACCTAGGGAAATACCCATCATAGGTTCGAGAACCAGCAACAAGCTTAACACTGTCAAAGACCTTGACATTTGATACCACTGATGATTTATCTCAGTTACCGGTAAATAGTCTTACAAAGAACTGCTGAGGATTGTATACTAATTAACACTTCAGTGCAAGGACAGGGGCGACCCGAAAGCACTGACCCCCAGTCCATGGACCCCCCTATGGAACTGGTCCATAGACCTTGCCTACAGACCGGTCCACAGACCCCCCCTGTGGACCCCCCTTTACGGCCCCCCCTAATAAGACGCAATAAAAATGACAATTAGAGATTTGACTTACCATTTGTATTTTGTTTCACGGTGGCGAAAGTTTGACTGTTACACTGCGCAAATATTGCTGTCGCGATGAAAGGAGGACCTGCATACTTCGAAAAAGACCGATAACTTAGCTAAGTTGTGTATATCCTTGTGTATTCGGTGCAACCAATTGCCTCCGCCATGACTAGTCCCGGCCTTCACAAAATAGTGCTCCTTCCACAAAGAAAGATGTCGATGTCCATTAGAGACTAAGCTAGGTAGTACTTTGTCCAACTCAATGCTTTAATGGTGATGTCCACTTAACAGTTGGCTACTTAGTTGCCAAGCCTTTGAATAGGAGTGAGGCTGAGGGTGACCTGGTTATACGAAAATTGCTACCTTTGATCCTGTCTGCGGTATTTTCCTTCCTCTATCAATCATAACAAAGTCGCCCTGCTGAAAGATTTGGCAACTAAACACATAACTGTCAAATAAAGTAAAGGGCATCACGATCTCTAATGGACATCGACATCTTTCTTTGTCGAAGGAGCACTATTTTGTGAAGCCTGGGATGAGTCAATAATATCTAATTGTCATTTTTATTGTTTCTTTTTATGGGGGGTCAGGCTTTCTTTTTCCAGATGCTCTTAAGCTGCATATTAAAAAACTGTGATAGTCTTCTCTGCATTTATTTCTTTATCCCACAGTTCAAATACATGAAATTAATATATTCATCTCCATCTTCCCCGGGTATATTACAATTGACCAGCCCCCAGTTGGCTTGCTATCTCAATATTGCTGAGAGCGCTGCACTGGTATCACAGACATTCAGGCTTTCTTTTCGCAACTGCATGCATAAGCTGCGTATTTAACTGTGATGATCTTCTCTGCATTTATTTCTTCATCCCACATTTGAAATATATGAAATTAATATATTCATCATTTAATAACTGAGTTTCTTTACATTTTTGTAGTTACCCCAATATTGAAACTACTGTCAACTCCGCACATTAGTTTTCTTCAGACTGATTTTTCTCAACATGTTCTTTTCATTTGTTTGTTCTTTAACCAATGTCCAACAGTTGTGAATCATGAATAATTCCGAACGTATAATGAACGTATGCCGGATTATTGCCTCACAAGGGGCATGTAACTCTGAGTAGCAATAAGTGTTCAAGATTTAATGCAGTTCCATCAGTCTACTTATAACAGTACTATATTGTTTTATAATTTCTTTTCCCATTTCAGAAATAGATTATCTGAAGAACAAACTTCCTTTGGTCAAGTATGATGCTCCAAAAAAGATTTTACAAAAATATGGAGATGGAGGGGTAGCTATCATTGATCAGTGGATTTGTGCTCATGCAAAGTATTTTGTCGGGACGTGTTGGTCAACATTTTCTTTTTCTATTCTTGAAGAAAGAGACATACTAGGTTTCCATGGTGACCAAACCTTTAATTGTCTCTGTGGTGATAAGGAGCTTGGAAAATGTGAACAACCATTCGAATGCAGAGTAGTTTACTAAGTTATCATTTGTATTTATTGCATGTCTAATATGCATTTATTAATTTTTATTACTTGCTTCTGTAGGAAGTTTAAGTTATGTTTAGGTAGGTTTCAATAATTCAACTGGAGGCATTTTAAGAAAAATATGATGTTATGAATTCAATGTCACTCAATGTGTACTTAATTTAAAATAGAGAGAGGTGACTGATCTTGATATTCAACTCATGTAGTGGTAAGACAATATTTGCCAGTTTTATAATATGAGATGTGCGGTAGGAAAACTATCACGTATGAAGGGAGATGAAGGCAATAAATGTTCTGAATTTCATTTCCTGAAATTGATGGTTATTTTTTGTTTGTTTGTTTTTTTGTGTGTGTGCAGAGGATTACCCTCTTTGTGTCTCATTTATTAGCCATACAATATTTCTTTTAAGACCAAGCTTGGTCATTTGTTCATTCATAATAGCTGGATATTGGTCTTGTTCCTTTTTCGGCAATCTTTAAAAGGAAAAACAGAAAAAAAAACCGTGGCCAATCTCTGGGCGTATGGAAAAGCCGGAATCCGGAACCGGAAGCGGAGCCGGAAACGGAAACGGAACCGGAACCGTAACCCGAACCCGAACCTAAGTAATAAAAATTGGAGACGTTTCTGTCAGTGTCACTAACAATAATTGCTCGGTCAAGACTTTTCATCCCCACATTATATCTTTTTATTGGTATTATATTTTTTGCTGTCGCATTTTTTGCGTACGGCGCAAAATTTTTCTTGGAGAATTTCATATACGCGTGAGCGTTGCAAGTTGGGATCATGATTGACATGAGTACTCCTCCTCCCTTTGCCACCTTTCCCTCACAATGGATGAAACATGGAGCCCTTTTAAGAAAAGGTATGAGTGAGAATATAAAAGTTTTCTTCTTTTCCGTTTTACTGAGTTTGAAAAAATGTTACCAGTTTACAAAAACATATCTGTTTTCGTTGTGACGAAAGTGACGAATCGATTGAAATGTGAGTACGTGTGAAAATGTGAAGTTGTTGTGCCTTGAATTTATGCTCAAGTCTTCGGAGGAACAGCATGGGCTGATTCTTTGAATTTTAGTGGTTTAGGTTATGTTCTTTTAATTTTATAAAGTCATGTAAATTACAACTGAATTTTTTGTTTGTTTGTTTGTTTTTTCTGATGTAAAAGTGTCTAAGCGTGATGTGTAAGCGTGTTTGATAAAGTAGAAGACATGCGTGTACTAAATAACCAAAGGTCGCGCGGTGAGTACATCTTTGGTATCACGATCACTGTGCTGAAAATTTCTCAAAACAATGATAACCGAGGACGCCATCTTGAATTTTATTTCCACACGGGTATCGGGAACTGGTTTCCATGCTTCCCAGTTTACCCTGGTCTCAATTTAAGAGCGACTTTCTGTAAATACCACGGATAGGTGTCCAAGATGGAAAAATCGAAATCTCCCAAACTTTGTCACAACAAAGCCCTTTGGAAACTATTTTAGAAAATACAAGACTTCGTCTGGGTTAATATTTTCCAAAATAATAATTTTTTTAATTTTTACCTTCGAGAGGCCTTCAAACCAGCGAAAAATGTGCTTGATACCCTCGCTTCGTGAATGGAAACGGAAACTAATACCATGACTTTTCTTATATTAAACAATTTTATGATCCTTCCTTTCTACCTAAACGTTGTTACAATTTCAAAAGATTTCAATCTGATTTGTAAATATTTTTTCAAAATTACCCTCTAAATCATCGCGACCATCAATTTTGCCATTTTTCAACGGCGAAAATCCCTTCCCGGTACATGGTTTTCATTAGCAAAATGGTATTCCAGAGAAAGAGCAATGTTTGCCCTATCAATTTGTGAAATAAAATTATGGGCAATTGAAACTGCGAGTTTTTACAACTGAAACCATTTACAGTACTCGCGTGATTTACGACCTCTGAACTTGCAGTTGTCGTGATGAATACAAGCGAGAACTTAGACAGCGCTTGAAACTCTGGCGCAAATTCGCCCCTTTTCCGCCAGTTTAAACACCAAAAACGATTTTAGATTTCACAGTGATAAATTTTGAAAAGGAAAAGCAATTTTATTGTGCGAAAGTGTGCTATGAACCTCTTGACTACAACACTTCCCTTACGTGCGTATTTGTTTACTTTTGCCGTACATATGTACAAAACGGCTAATAGTGTCGGTAGCTATTCTTTCAAATGCTCTCATTTCTCATGAACCAAGTCGTTATAGCTGTAAAAAAGGAAAACATTTTGACCTACCTCACATTATTTGACAACAGACCCGAATCCTTTATTGCCTTTAGCGAAACGAGATTACGTGACAAAGAACTTTGAGACCCAGGTTATACCGCGGAGACAGATACCATTCCGAAAAAGAAACTCACGCGGCATCTTCTGTAGCTATAAAAGCGAAACATGTTAATAATCAAAATCTTAGTTTCGTTGACTTATCCGCCAGAGCTTCCCTGTAAATGTAACACTAAAAAAAAAATATTTTTTCGTCAAAAGACTATGTAGGGGTAGGCCCTTATTGTTGGTTTTCGCATGACGTCACTAAAATTCAAACTAAAAAACTATCGATCCTACCGGGATTTTATTTTCACGATGCATTAGAGCAGCTGGAAACTAATTTTCATACAAATTTTCGCTTCAAAAGGGTCTTGAGTGTTGTGATAGAGTACGCTTGAACTTCTAAGCTTTTGCGTGACGAGGCATTTACATGACGGCCAAGAGAGCTGTCATGTAGGTAAAAAAAATGACTTATTTAAGGAAAGTTTGCTATTTAAACATTTCATGTATTAGAAAAAGTATTGCTTTAATGTTAATGAGTTTCTCGAAGAATAAATTCACGCCTTTGTAGCAAAACTAGGTAACAGATGTTTCTGTTGGTTTCCGTCGGCCATGTAGGAGCTCATCCAGGTGAGCACCAGCATGGCGTCTCCATACAAATCTCTATAAGTTTGGGTAAAACATTTCTTCGGATATCTCGAAAACGAAATATTCCTCTGACCTGAATCTTGGCGAGGGTCTTTGTATATGTACCTCCTTTCATTTCCCAGATTCTGGACTTTATCTATTGAACGGTTTTGATTTTTATTTTGATCTATTTTGAATGGCGTGACACTGAAAACCAGCAATACAGTGGAACCGCGATATAAAGAACCTACGAATGATTTTCTTTACCTCGATAATTGTAAAATATACCGTAAAACCTATATTAAAGCCCCCTGTCAAATAAGCTCCCCCCCCCCTTTCAGGGGAAGAAAGTTAATAAGCCCCCCCACCTTCTATCAAGCACGCGCTTCCCACCCCTTATTATTCTTCACTAATAAATGAAAGACTGTATTAATCAATCACGACCGTAAAACTTCGTATGGACTGATCCAGGATGGTTTATTTACCAACTGGAAGTTCGGATTTGATTATGATCCTCGGCTGCTTGACCTAAAACTTCCTGTACTTGAGCTTTTCCACATTGTATTCGAGTTCTTTATGGAGAAAAAATGAGAAAATGAGAAAATGGGCTTGAAATAAATAAACCCCGCCCGGGTAGGGGGCGGGAGGCTTAGAGGATTTACGGTATGAAAAACAAACCTCGATATAACGAAACCTCGTTATAGCGAGCAAATTTCAGGGGCACTCAACGACTGTTTTCTGTATAATATATCTTCGGAGAAGTAGATATTGCCTAGAATTTTCTATAGCTTGAGGACGCCTAAAAATTTCTAGATGACCGTTCCGTTCCTGTTCAATTTTCGAAGGTTATCTTATAAATTCCCTACGATTTTCTGAAGTTTAATTTTTCACATATTACATCCCAGGTTAGGCTAATTTTTCGTAGAAAAGAGGAAACCTAAAAAGTTCGGATTTAAAAATGTGATTGAGAGAGGAATCAGAAAAATTCCCTTCGTGATACGTTAAATTGCATCTAAAATTTTTAGGAAAATAATACTGAAGCCCTTGTAATTTCGAAAATACTCAATGCAAGTTCCCCTAGGATGACCGGAGAGGAACAAATTTTACAAGCCGCTTAGAATGCATTTCTAGAGGTCTAAAAGTACTCTGGGTACACCATTGAAAAGTGTTTTCAATGAATTTAGAAGGAAACCGTCGTTGGGTGGCTCAGAATTTTTTTATTTCCTTGGGCCTTCGTTAAATCGAGGTTCCACTGTAGTCTCTTGTTTTCATCACGCTCGTTTTGAAATACGATTATGAATTCCTTACTTGTATACTTAGGATAAAGCGCTAAGTCGTAGTCTGAAATGTCATCCGTCCCTTCCCTCCACCCCCTAAGGGGCTGCAGCAGGTTTCGGGGTGGGGCGAAGACATGCATAACATTTCAGGCTAGACATGACATGGCGGGGCTAGAAAACCTGCATAACTTTAGAGCACCTCTTGTGTTTCAATTTTCTGTAGCTCTGGCAAACTCGAACAAGTTTTTCATTTCTGAGCAACGTTTTGCCAAAATATAGGTTATGGCACATGTCAAGCCAGAAAAAGTGGGCAGTTTGATAGAAAATGCCAAGTACGACTGAACCGCGCCCGTAAAAGCGCCCCTAATGACTCTGGCGGGAGAGGGAGGCTGGGTGGGGAGGGAAAACTCTGAAATTGAGCAAAGGGGACCTAGCTCTAAGCATACCGCCTGCTTTTTAGTTGTGCGTTTCCCTTGGCAATAAATTTTGCCCACAGTTTCGAGCAACTCTTTAAAGGAGATTGCAAGCCCGTATATTTGGGCCCTTCAGAAACGCTCAGCGGTGAAACCAAAGATCGCACCGTCAAAAAACTTATTTTAACTTACTGAAAGCTGTTTTTTTCTTGACCGATTTAACTTATCGTTAGGAAAGAAGAAAAGGAATCTCATAGTTAGCGTATGTATAAAACTATCAAGAAATCTCGAAATTCTGGATTTTCCAAGAGAACAAATACTTTCGAAAAATTTATGAGAAAGTCCGTTGACTGGAAACAACTCGCTATCAATTATCCGAAGATATCCGAATATCTCACTTTTCAACCCACTTTATACGCTTCATTTTTGAGGGGAGCCAACATTAGAGCGCTACTGTTATTTTTTTACGCCTGGGTATCTCACGTTATGCTTACGCGTATCCGCATCCTAAGCTTACGTAAAGGTTATTTACCTGGAACGATGGGGTATGTGATAAATTCACCTGGTACCGCGCACTACCGCCCCGAGGGCTACGTGTGTAAGACTACGTGTATAGCATTTATTGCTTTCCCCCCGAAGCTTTTTTCATCTTGTTCT